GCTACCAACAAACAATTTTGCTATTCAGTAATTGTCATGTGTTCACTCGTGTATTGTGGGCTGCTATGGCAACACCCTTCAAACAGCATTAATCAAATATGTTATGTTGCATAAATCATTCTATCAATAATAAAATGACAAATACAGACATAATCCACGAACTAAAATTTAGATGACCACAAATCAGAACAAGTGATAGCACATGTCAATTCAAAACTCTGTCATTTGAATAAATATTTCGTAAAATGCCTTGATATTAGCGTAGTGTTACACGAAGAATGTATAGGTCATAGGTCAATTCAAGAATGTACATGTGCAAGCGATATAAATTTGAAAACATTACAAATCATGAAATAGCCGCCAATTCGGCTGGTTTTTAATTATATCATTCAGCTGTGTGGTTAGTTTGTAGAGGAACGTTTAAGGTAAAGCACAATCGGGCGTGGTTAGTACTTGCATGGGAGACTCCCGGAGTAAACAAGCTGTTGGATTTTTGTTTGTTTCACCACACAAATGGAAAAGTTATGAAGCAACGTCCTGCATTATTTTCACTGTCATTTATAGTAGAGTATCGTGGATTTTTTGTATTTTTTTCAATTAATGGATTTTTTTTTAAAAATTTGTAATTTTGGGAAAAAAACGAATTTTGATGCTGTCTGATCGTAGTGGGATTTAAACTGTTAACGCACCGAGCAAAGTTGTTCAAAGTGATAGCAAATTTGTGCAAAGTGATTGCAAATTTGGTAGATGTATTTGTATATATGAGCTAAGTTGTTGCCATGTAGAACCCCGCAGTTGTATAGTCGACACATTTAATAAAAGCCAGTTCAAAGCAGCCTATACTAGCATATGTTCATATGAGCTGACTGAAAAATGTTAGAAAACAGCGTGCAAAATTGGAAAATGCGATTGAAATGTTGGCGGAGTTACTTGTATATTTAACCTAGGTCATTATCATACAACCCCGCAGTTAAATTTTGAAAATACTAAGTAAATGTCTCAAAATGCCTTATATGTAAGCAGATTATCACAACAGCGAACGGAAAAATCGGCGACAAACTGCTCACAAAGTTGTGGACAGCGATTGCAAAGTTAGTAGATTCATTTCGGATCGTTACCTGTGATGTTATATTAACAGGACCCATAGTTAAAAGTGCGAAAATGTGAATAAATATTTTGTAAAATGCCTTGATATTAGCGTAGTGTTACTCGAATCATGTATAGGTCATAGGTCAATTCAAGAATGTACTTGTGCAAGCGATATAAATTTTAAAACATTACAAATCATGAAATTTTTTAAAAGTTTTTTAAATATCTCATTCGGCTGTGTGGTTAGTTGGTCGACGAACGTTTAAGGTAAAGCACAATCGGGCGTGGTTAGTACTTGCATGGGAGACTCCCTGAGTAAACAAGCTGTTGGATTTTTATTTGTTTCATCACACATATTGAAAAGTTATGAAGCAACGTTCCTGCATTCTTTCTTACTGTGGTGTCAATCATTTATAGTAGAGTATCGTGGATATTTTGTATTTTTTTCAATTAATGGATTTTTTTTAAATTTTTTGTAATTTTGGGAAAAAAACGAATTTTGATGCTGTCAGATCGTAGTGGGATTTAAGCTGTCAACGCCCTGGGCAAAGTTGTTCAAAGTGATAGCAAATTTGTGCAAAGTGATTGCAAATTTGGTAGATGTATTTGTATATATGACCTAAGTTGTTGCCATGTAGAACCCCGCAGTTGTATAGTCGACACATTTAATAAAAGCCAGTTGAAAGCAGCCTATACTAGCATATGTTCATATGAGCTAACTGAAAATGTTAGAAAACAGCGTGCAAAGTTAAAAAATGCGATTAAACGTTGGCGGATTTACTTGTTTATTTAACCTAAGCCATTGTCATGACAACCCCGCAGTTAAATTTCGAAAACACTAAATAAAAGTCTCGAAAATACCTCATAGATAAGCAGATTATCGCAACAACGAATGGAAAAATCGACGACGAACTGCGTACAAAGTTGTGAAAAGCGATTTCAAAGTTGGTAGATTCATTTGGATCGTTACCTGGGATGTTATATTAACAGGACCCATAGTTAAAAGTACGAAAATGTGAATAAATAATACAATACTATTTCATCATTGTTGACATTAGCAGTGTCACTCATCCCAACCACAATACTACTTCATTGTTGTCGACATCAGCAGTATCACTCATCCCAACCACAATACTACTTCAAAGTTGTCAACATCAGCAATATCTCCCATCGCAACCACAATTCTACTTCATCGTTGTCGACACCAACAGTATCACACATCCCAACCACAATACTACTTCATTGTTTTCGACACCAGCAGTATCACACATCCCGACGACAATACTTCAACATTGTCAACATCAGCAGTATCCCTTATTCCTATGA